AGTCTCTTTATCAGGTGTGGGGAGCCCCAGCACAGTTGGCTGCAAGTTCTAATACCACATTTGTGTTGCAGTATTTCTTTAAGTATGTAGGCCCCCAGCGTGGCAGGTTGTTAGGCTCAGGGGCTTACAAATGCTATAAGTCTCCAGCCTTTAGGTCTCTTGTCAGCTCTCTGAGAATTGCAGCTGGGTGGGGCTGGCCTCAGGCATGGGAGCACCCAGTTGTTTCAGGCTTTGGAAGGTGGGGCAAACCCTCATTTGGGTCTTTGAGAAGCACAAGTCTTCTGCATCTGACAAGCCCTGCTGCCCACAGGTCCACACACACAGTCAACACAGTCCTGCCCTGTGTGCGTGCCCTGACCTCCTGAAGTGGACCCAGTCACCAGTCTGCAGAGAATCCAGTCACCAATCTATGCAGGCTCACAAGTTGCCTGAGGGCTTGTTGTTGGCTGGGGCCAGTCCCTAGGGTGGGCTGCCTGCCCTGGCTGAGCTGGATTAAATCAGTGCTCTAGTGGGTCGGGCAGACCCTGGGCCAGCAGGCCCCAGGGAGAACTCCAATGGTGTCTGTGTCAGCACGCCCACACCAGGCCACAACATGGCTGCTGCCAATGTCCCACTCCCTGGAGAGGTCTCACCTCTCACTGCAATGCACTTAGAGCCTATCAGGTGAGTCTCTTTTTACCAAAGCACTGTGCACCTTTCTTTCTGAAGATTTTAGGTTGCTTTCTGAAATGGGTGAGTTTGTGCGTGGGCCCTTTAAGAGCCGGTTTTAATTTCTTTGTGAACCAGCTTTTCTGGGGGTACTCCCCAATGTTTTAGTAGCAGGCAAAGTCAGATATTACGCCACTCGTCTCGATTGTGCTGTGTCCACAAAATGTCTACAGTGGGGGCGATCTCTGGCTCAGGGGCCCGCTCCTCCAGGGAGGGCTGCCTACCTTTGGGCTGCTCCTGGGCGGCTGTGGAGTGCTGTGGCTTGTGAAGGCAGCGTTTTTTCTCTCCAGAAGGGAGTTTCTACCTCTTCCACCTCAATTAGGATTGTCCTTTGTTGCAGGAGTTCCTCTTCTCCAGTTTTCAGTTCTCTCTCAGGGGTAATTTTTCCAGAAGTAGTTGTAAATTGGCTGTGTCCACGGAAGGACGTGAGTTCAGAGTCTGCTTACACCGCCATCTTGACTTCTCTCCCTCTCAGCTTTTTTCTTATTGTTGATTTCTAGTTTCATAGTATTGTGGTCGAAAAAGATGCTTGATATCATTTCAATCTTCTTAAATTTATTGAGGCTTGCCTTGTTTCCCAACATATGGTCTATCTTTGAGAATGTTCCACGTGCACTTGAAAGGAATGTATTCTGTTGTTTTTGGATGGAATGTTCTATATATATCTATTAAGTCCATCTGGTCTAGTGTTCCATTTAAGGCCACTGTTACCTTGTTGACTTTCTGTCTGGATAATCTATCCATTAATGTAAGTGAGGTGTTGAGGTCCTCTACTGTTATTTTGTTGCTGTCAATTTATCCCTTTAGGTCTGTTAATAGTTGCTTTACATACTTTGGTGCTCCTGTGTTAGGTGCATGTATATATTCATAAGTGTTTTGTCTTCTTGGTGGAGTGTCTCTTTTATCATTATATACTGTCCCCCCATTATCTTTTTTATCTTAAAGTTTGTTTTATCTGAGATAAGTATGGCTACACCTGCTTTCTTTTGCTTGCCATTAGCTTGGAGTATCATCTTCCATCCCTTCATTTTGAGCCTGTGTTTGTCTTTAGAGCTGAGATGTGTTTCCTGGAGTCAGCATATTATTGGGTCTTGTTTTTAAATCCATCCAGCCACTCTGTGTCTTTTGATTGGTGAATTCAATACATTTTAATTTAGAGTGATCATTGATAAATGAGGGCTTTAATACTGTCATTTTATCTCTTGTTTTCTGGAGCTCTAATTCTTAATAGGATCATTTAATCACAGGAGTTGATCATTTGGGCTGGTCAGGGTTCTGACCTCTGAAGCCTTTCCTGTGTTAGTGCAGCAGCTCTGCTCCCTCTGGATAATCACCCGAACTGAGGAGAGGAGCCCTAAAGAGCCTGGCCACATGCCACGCCCTGCCACAGTAACCCACGCTCCTAGCTGGATTGCTCACAGCATCCTGCTCTCTGTGAGGACCTTATTTTTCATGATTTATGTTGAGTTCTTTATTGGAGGACTCAGCTTTGAAAATATCTACCAGCTATATTGATAAGGTTGGTCGGTAACCCATTTAATCACATTCTATTTGTTACTGAACTTAAGGGTACAGAGAAGCATTGTAATTGAAAATTTAGAATTTGCATCATTTAATCACAGCTATTGATCTTGATACCAGTCTCTGTCATGATGGTGATGAGCAAACTCTTCCTTTCTGCTGAATATTATTCATTGATTTTCGGTTTGGAACTGGTGAATTGTGTACTATGTAGATTTGTTTGTGTTCCTATTTACATTTTGGTTCATTGTATTCTTTGAATGAATACTTTCACTAGAGAGCCATTTATGATACAGGATCCCCTCCCACCTCCTGTTTTGGTTGGTCCAAGCTCTTAGAGGCCTTACTAGTAAGTTTTGAGCTATTCCACTAGAAATGGCTTTTGTGCACATGGGAGGCCAGAGCCGCCTTCTCTTGGAAATCTCTGTGAGGCATTTTTACAAGTCCATCAGCTAGCTGCATTGGTTCTTTTCCTATCCACTTTATTTGTTCTTTTTTGTTCTGGGGCATTGTAAATAAAGCTTTGCCTAAAACAAATGTGCTGTCAGGATGTGAAATGTGCAGCTGACACGTTGGGTAAAAATAATAGCTGCTTTTCCTTAATCCACACCAAATTCATCCTCCCTGGCTCCAGAGACAGGCCTCCTGGAATATTTGAAGCAACTGGGTTAGCTGAGTCATCGAGCTTGGTCTCAGTAAAGCGCACATCTTTGGTCCTTGTTAATCTTATGGCATTGAAGATTTTAGCCAGGAATTGTTCTTAAAGCAACATAAGCCAAACCTTGGGGTCACTAGTGTACTTTGTTCTGGGCGCTCTCAGAGACAAAACCCACCAGAGTAATGCCTCTCGTTTGGGTGGAGCTTTGTGGTTTGCCAGGTTCAGACCTAACAGTCGCCTGTGAGAGGAGCTGGGCCTGGACGCGCCCTGGCCTCGGAGCACTCCACTGCACGTTGCCCCTGCTTCCTGGGACACTGCCGCTGCCTCCCTGCTTGGGCAGTGGTTTATTATTTGCCTCTTACTGCTTTTTTTGTGCTTATCTTTTTACCAGAGTGCCAGTGTTCTTGAATTGTTCTTTTCTTCACCTTTTTAGCTTTAAGAGCCCATCTACCTAAGGCCTCTGCTTTATTTTCATGTGAATCTTTGAAGGGGACACAAATGTTAAACATGAAACCTGTAATAAACATATGGCCCAGAGGGGTTGATGTGCTCGGGGAGATTTGGTTCCAGTTCCTGGACAGGTTGCAGGAATGTTTAACATTATAGCACTTTGGAGAGTCTCATCCAAGATCATTGGCATATTTTTTCTAGGTTTATATTTTATTTAAAAGTGAGAGGTTTTGTTTTCTTTTGTTTTATCCATTATTATGAATTGAATCCAAATCAAATTTGGAGATTCATTTATTATAGTTTTCTTTTAATCAGAGACAGAACTTATTTGACCTCTTACAATAAAACGTACCTTCTCAAAGAATTTTAACTAAAGCAGTTCTTAAAAAGCAGCTTGAGCTCTTCTGCAGCATGCTAGCAGCCCTCAGATCAGCATACTCTGTTGTTTTACCATTACCATGTATTTGGAGTCAGAACTGTTTATTGTAAGTCATGTGGGTTTTTGGTTGTTTTTTTTGGTGAAGATTAGTCCTGAGCTAACATCCGTTGCTAATCCTCCTCTTTTTGCTGAGGAAGATTGGCCCTGGGGCTAACATCCACGCGCATCTTCCTCTACTGTATATGTGGGATGCCTGCCACAGCATGGCTTGATAAGTGGTGCGTAGGTCTGCACCCGGGATCCGAACTGGCGAACCCTGGGCCACCGAAGCGGAGTGTGTGAACTTAACCACTACGCCACAGGGCCAGCCCCTGCAGTTTTTAACATATGGTATTTGTATAGTTAGCACCCATATTGAAAGGAGTTTCTTTATCAAGTTCTATTCTAGGAAGGTGATATTTCCTTATTTATCAAAGTAGCATTTGTGAACAAATTTAAAAAAAGCAGAAATTAAAACTTTTTAATCTCAGCAAAATACACTTAGATATAAAATGTAGATTGCTGTTAATCATGTCAAATCTTACATCTTAAACTGCTAAACTGATACAAATTGGGTCTCACTTGAAGTAATAGTAAGGACTGTGAGTATGAGAATGTGTATTTGAGAAATGAGCAGAACCCACCTGTGCTGGAACCAGAGCAGCAGTGTCGTCTCCTCTGCCTAGCCCCACAGCCCAGGGTGGTGACACGTCAGGGAGGGCTGCTTTCCAGTGTGACGCCATCTGGGCTCCCTTGCAGCATAGCGCTAGGACACTGAGCTGAATGAGTGTCCATGGAGATGCTGTGTGTGTGTTTGATGCTGTAACTGTTGTTTCAGATGGTAAAGGATGACTATGAGGATGATGCCCACATTTTCCGGAAAGCGGCCAATGACATCACATCCCAGCTGGAGATTAATTTTGGTAACCTCCCTCGTCCCGGGCGTGGAGCCAGAGGTGGCCCACGGGGAGGCCGAGGAAGGATCAGAAGGGCCGAGAACTATGGTCCCAGAGCAGAAGTGGTGGTAAGTGTTTGTGTTCGAAATCCTGGATGGTTTTCTGAGGGACATGAGAGGATTAGGATGCCCCGGGCCTACACAGTCTAATTTTGGAGGGTCATCAGGTTTTGCTGTCGATTCCTCCTCTGTCTAGTGTGGATCTGAAGTTGGGGCGTTTAGAACGGCTATGTCAGCATTATGGTTATCAATTGGATACAGACCATTCTGTAGCCCTGTCCTTCAGGGTCTCCAGGGAGGTCCACTGTCTGCTGGGAATGCACACTCAGAACTGGAGAAATACTCACTCATCTGCATCAGACAAGATCCCCAGGCTTGGGTCCATCAGAGCAGCTGATGGTTGCATACTAACTATGATTGGACCGTCTGCCCGGTGCCCTTACGATGTCTTCAGGGTAGACAGAATCCTTCCTAAGGCTTCTAGGCCTCCTTGTGACCTCTCCAGGCTCACCTTCTTCCCCTGAGCCATTCCTCCCCACCCCTCAGCCAACACTGCTCTTCCTCTGCTTCTTCAGAATGGCCTCCTCCTCAGCCCACAGGGCCTTTGCATCTGCTGGTCCTTCTACAACCCCTTTGCCTGCTTACCTAGAATAGATCCTCTAGCCTTACTTCCTCAGAGAAGGTTCTTTGGTCACATTTCCTTCCAGACCAGGTCAGAGTCCTTGAGCAAAGAATTTTCTTTCTTTTCTTTGAAGCATTAAATCATTTGTAATTGTGTTCTCACTGGTGTGATTATTGATCAGTGTCTGCTGTCTCTACAGTGGACAACAGAAGCCATGTCTGCTTTTGCTCATTCTTGGTTTCCCCAGTGCCTAGCACAGTGTAAGGCTATAGTAGGCGTTTCATAACTGGTTTATGAACAAATAGATGAATACCTATTTAGTGGCAGTTGGGCACAAGGCCCTGTGGCCAGCATGGGCCGCCATGCAGGCCTCCTGACGATGGAGCAGGAGCAGCCCCTTGTCTGTGGCTGGTCTTGGGAATGTTCCTTTTGCTGCCTGATTCCCTAACTCCACGAGCAGCCCCTGGGAGGAGTGCTTGTAGTTTATTGTACTTGAGCAAGAGCAAAAACACAATCATATGTTTTCTGAGTACATTTGAGGCCAGGTTGGAAAAAGGATCTATTCTGGGAATAGAAAATAGCCATTCACTCCTTTCCAGTAGCCAGCTCCCGCCGCCGCATCACTGAGCCTGGCGTGCGGTGATCTGGCGCCAACCTGCCTCTCCTCCTGAGACTCCTCCCTGCCGCCCACATGTGCTCCCCCAGCTCAGAACCTCCCTGCCCTCGGGCCCCTGCCCTTCAAGGTCATATTGCAGTGTTTCGGGATCCCTGTTCCCTCTGCTCATTCACTGAGGCTCATCTCCGAAGAACCTCCTCTCCCAGAGATACCCGATCGTGACGTGTACTTTGCTACCAAATTGCAATGGACACCCTGCCATGGGCCCTACTCCCAGCCCATCTGCTCCTGAGGTTCCCACACTGGAAATTCCTGTGTGGTTCTCCCCCCTCACCCTGGGAGCTCCCAATGGCAGGGACTGTCTTTAATCATCCTTATATCTCCATAAGGCAACATCTGTCATGTTTATTAGGTGAAGGAAGTGCCAGATACAAAAAGGGTCACTCAGTAAGGGTTTGTGGGAGGGAGACAGGTGCTACCAGCTGTTTTGCAGAGGGGACACGAGTGAGTCTGAGAAGGGAGAGGCGTCCTTCCAGGACCATACCCCTGTGGGCTTCGTGCAGCACTTGGCTGCAGCTCAGAGGCAGCACCTCACATATGGTGACCGCACACTCCTTTTTCCACTGGGGCCTTGCCTCTCCCTCAGTGACTGGGCTGCCCCCACCCTTGGCTCGTCCCCTGGGAGAGAACTGGCATTCACATGGGGCTCTGCCCGAGGGGGAATGGGTGGAATGAGTGTTGGTTCAAAACCTTTCTTCTCTTCTCTAGACACAAGACATTGCTCCAAACCCAGATGACCCTGAAGACTTTCCTGCTTTGGCTTGAGAGAGCCCTATCTACCTGGCAACTTAAAACAGCACTGACGTACCAGTGAAGAGACTTTTCTTGCTGTGGGGAGAAAGGCAGACTCTAAGAACAATAGATATTGCTTGTCCCCGTGTGGTGTGAAGTGTTGCTCTTTTTTGGCCTGGGGGGTGTGGAACAGGGATTTCTCCAGGTATTTGTGGGCAGCAGTTCCCGTCAGAGGGTTAGTCTGGCACTTTCCCAAGAAGGTGGAGAATGGTGATTATTTTTTTATTTAAGGAATTCCAAATGAAGTTCAGAAATAATGTTTAAATTGTGTACATAGAGATTGTATTAAATCCTCCACAAAAGCAGGGAGAGTAAAATAAGTTGTAAAATAGAATCTGTTGAGACTACTTAGTAAGTGGTAGAGATAGGAAGGCCGTGTCCTTTAGTATTAGAGGCGATACATGTAACCTGGACCATTAATTTAAAGCAGTCACAGCCTAGTTTTCAGAGACCAAGAAATTAAAATACAATTGTATTTACTGTTTACTTGTAAACATGTTATACTCTCCTGGAATTTTTTGAGTTCTGGTTTTCGTTTAATCAATAATTTTAAACAGCTGTTGTGCAGCCACTGGTTACCAATGTGTGACAGAGAATTAGAGAAAGTATCGACTTTTTAATGGTGATTTAAACTACCTCGTGGTTTCTGTGCGTATGCACACACACGCTTAGGATAAATGTGCATATTTAGTGTTTGGGTGGTTTTAGGATGAGTATTAAGTATATGATTTTAAAAATCATGTTATTTAACCCACCAATCAAATGAAAAGAGGTCCAGGCAAAAGAGTGTTGCGACTTAACCTCACATCTTTTTCTCCCTTGAAGCTAGTGTCAGAATCCAACAGCCGTGTACAAAGGCCCTCTGTCCTTGTCCTGGGCAAGGCTTGTAAATAACGGGTATTTATTGAACGCCAATCTGCAGTTTTTCTCCCTCTGTCCTTGCACCAGTTCTGGTTCCCATTTCTTGCCTCTGGTGACCGTGTAGGGTTAGGGGCTACCTCAGAGGTTCAGTAACTCCCCAGGTCCCCCCAACCAGCAGAACTGAGACCTGCAGAGCCCACGCTGTCTCTGCCAAGCTGCCTGCGGGGACGGTGCCCGGGGAGGGCAGGGGCCGAGGCAGCTGTAACAGCTGCTGGAAGCTGGGGTGATGCTCTCCCCACTTTACCCAAGAAACTGTGGGCAACACTGGCCTGTTGTCACATGGTTAATATGCTTGTGTTGGAACTGGAACCTTGGTCCCAGAATCTGCCTTTTCCTGCTTTGCTATACTGTCTAAGATGGCTCTGAACTCGAACCTAAGTGTAAATAAAGGTTTGTATTCCCTCCTAAGTTTGTGTATAGAAAGCTGAATCCTTTTGGTTACACCCAGGTCAAGAGAGAAGAATGTGGGAAAGGCCACAGTGAAAGAATTGTATTTAGTTGGATGATCAGAGCTGAACCCCAGCCACAAGTTAAGGACATTCACTGTGGGTGATAGCCTACTTTTGGGCTCTTCTTATTAATATCCAAGTACAACGGTATATTAACTGATTGTTTTATTCCCTTTCCCTGGAAGAGACACAATGACCAAGTACCCTGGTCTGAGTAAAGTCTTGTGAATGTCAGGTTCAGCCATAATAATCAGCTGGTGCAGCACGAGGCTGTGTCACTGCTGAGCAGGCTCGAAGCTGTCCTGTGAAGTCATTTTGCCTTGCCTTAGCTTTGAAGATTGAACAGAGATCCCCTTCAAGGAAATTCCCCTTAGTGTTGTGAATGATACCTGAAAAGCCCGCAGCGCTGGATTTGATGTTTCTGCAGACGCTGCGTCCTGCTGCAACACTGACGATTCGCGCCTGTGGTTGGAAACAGTTGTGGGACGTGGGCTACAGCTTCTGAGCCTGTGGAGGGCTGCGTTTGCTTGCCAGGGCCGCCTCCTGCCTCTTCATGGGGCGGGTGGATGTGGGGCTTTTGTGGTGTGGTTGTCCCCAGTCCAGAGAAGACAGAGCAGAAGCAGAGGGCAGGAAACCCTAACATGCTGCAGGGAAGACAGAGGAGGCAGGGGGATTCTGTCTCTGGACCTGTGCACAAGGCAAGGTCTTCCAGATCCAAGTTCCTCTGCCAGCCAAAGCCCTTTGTAGACACGCTGCCATGAGGCAGGACCTGTTTCTGGCTAGTAATTTAACATGAAGCAGATTAACCCCACAAAAGAAAACCAGTCAGACCCCCAAGGCCATCTTGGAAAGCAAAGGACAAGCATGTGTGGATTCCAAGGACAGGGGTGCAAGCCCAGGCCCGATTCGGATCCCTTCTGATACAGGAGCTCACCCCCAGGTCTCTGGCTACTGTGGGGCAGTGGAAGACAGAGCTGGGGGTATGTCCCAGGGCCTGCTGAGCCCTCCTGCAGCTAGGAGAGCCTCACAAATCAGGAGGTGTGACCCCTGACAGCCAGAACCCCTGAAGGGAGGAGGGTGGTACCCCGCCTCAACTGGCTGAAAACCTAAATTGCACCTCTGTCTCACAAGGTCTGGGAGGAGGCGGACCCGCACCAGAAGCTGCTGCTCCTGGGAATGCCTTGGAACACGTCCGGCCAGGCTACTTTGAAAAGTACGTCTTTAGCCTAATGTTGCTAGTAAGCATTTGACGTTTTCATCCCATGCAAGGCAGGCCCCTCAGAGCCAGAGAAGCCACAAGAGACCCCCCCCCTCTTTTCTAGTGCTGGTCATCAGCTGAGGTCTGTCTGTCCTGTGTGCTAGCTCTTCCATGCCTTCCCAGTGTGCAGGTGTGTCAGAAGGCAAGGCATTGTGGTTTCAAACCATGTGGTGCTGGCAAGTCCCGTGGAGCGCCTGGACCCAGTCTCAGAAGCTGGGAAAGGTCAGCCTCGAAATAAAAGCAGGAACTGCCGTCGTCTTCTAAGCTCAGGAAAGAGCCGTGCTGCCAACAGCAGGCGGGCCCACCGCCCTCTCACAGCAGGGCCCAGCTGGAGGGGCAGAGGCGCACTCGGAGAGATCGGCCCGTTTTCTTTCACGGCGGCTGCTGTCTCCCCTCAGCCTCTACGAGGACCCCGCTCTGTGTGAACGGCCCCCTCCCCTCGTCCTCCGCTCCTCCCCCACATCAGCACCACTGGCTGCCATGCGCCCCAAGTGTGTGAGGCTTCGCCCAGCTCTGTCCCACAGGGGCCTGTATGTGTGTAGTAAAGAGAACGAAGAGAACGAAGCAGGTATCTAAAAAAAAATCTTAGTTGTGAAATACAATAGGAATAAAAGTGTACAACTTCCTTGTAACCACTACCTAAGAGTCTGATTTCCTCAGACGCCTGTCCACATGACCACGCCAGTCACGGCCTCCCCTCTCTCTGAAAGTGCTGCTATCCCAGCTCAGGAACCACTGCCCACAGGGGCACCCCCAAACACTACGGCCTGGCCCTGTATCTGGATGCTTTTTGTCTGAAGGATCCCCTCTGCCCTTGGTGCAGAACCTGGGTACCTGGAGAAAACAAGCATTTCTTGAGTGGCTGCTGTGTGCTGTCTTGTAATTGTCTCATCATGTTGCAGGCAGGGAACAGGGAAGGACAGCCATCTTCCTTGGTCTCTAGCTAGTATCTTGGCAGGGGTGGGATGAGGACATACAGGCAGAAACAAGGTTCAGCCCCAAGCCCAGTATTCTTGGTACACACTTCAGAAATTGCCAGTTCAATGGCTAGTCTGGTGGGCAAAGCTGCTAGGAGAGGGACAGGGAAAGGCCAAAGGACACATGTTCCTCCTCAGGGACCAAAGGAGCCACACAAGGTATGTGCTGTGTGCTGCTGTGCTCGGCCACTCCAGGGCGAGGCTGCGGGCCACTGCAGCACAACATGGTGACTGCTACAGTAGTAGCTTAAGTGAGCCGATGCCTTCTCCTAAGAGCATGTTGGGAGTCAAGTGTCCTTAGAACGCTTTCTTAGGTCTCCTGCATAGGCGGAGATGGCAAGACTTGAGAGGCCACAGGATTAGGTTCAAGGTCGCCAGCAAGGCACTGATGGAAACAGGAATAGAAGCTTGGCTCTCCTGGGGCCTCGTGGAGCCTAAGGGCCTAACGGCTCCTGAGGCGTCTGCTCAGGCCAGGCTGCCTCTGCCCATCTCCCATCGCTCCGGGAAAGCCTTTTCTTTGGCCACTAAGTTTCTCGTGACTCAACGCAATAGGATTTTCCCTGACCAAACCACAAAGGCTCTCGAACCCATCACAGCTCTACCACGGGCAAAGCAGGCCCTCCCTGTGGTGTGGAGAGAGCAGGTCAACCCAGTGGAGCAGAGAACCAGCTGCCTTCTAAGCATTGTTTTTTTCCAAAAATGGGCCTGATTTTAGAAGGGTGACTTGGGAGCACAAAGTCATTTGCAAGTTGGGGAATGCCTGTCATGTGAGAGAGGAGTGGCATCAACTTACACATGAGTCCCTCAGGGGCTCTGCGAGTTCTCAGATGTCTCAGACACTGAGGTAGGGAGAACAGCCACCCCGCCAGAGGCACCTAGAACACCTCCGCCATAAGTGTGCACTGCCCCACCCCAGGGGACCTCATACACATTGAGGAACAGTCTGCACAACTGTGTTGGTGGCCATGGCCTGCATTTACTGGCCACTCAGGTACTGGCAGCATTAGAGTAGCCGGAAGGAAACCCTTTAAAGTATCTGAGTAAGTCCTAAATTCTTGGCAATGCAAAGTGATCAGAACTCGCATGTTCTGGCGGTGAGGGAGGTGTAACCCCTGCCCCGACTCCATCCCGATCCCGGGACCTGTGACCAGGGTGGAAAGACATTGAAGGCCTGGAGGCCTTGAGGGAGCCTTGAGATGACTGGTGAATAGGCTCCTTTACAACACACCTGCAGGGGCGCCCTTCCCACTGCATCTGGATGAACAGCGCCCCTGGAGTTGGATGGTGCACAGCCAGCCAGGCCAGGGAAAGCCTGTCTACGAACTCTTCTAAGGTTTTGCATGAACTCTTTTTTAGGAGATGGAGGGACTTCAGCCTCCATCAAATAGTCCACAGGGGCCCCTAACGTAAGAAAATTCAAGAAACGCTATCTACTGGGGCTTGGGATTGAACCACTGCCAGAAAGGGTGTCAATCTGGTCCCTTCCCCAACC